CAATTTATTTATTATTATTGCCTGATTTTTGGAGACTGGGTAATGCTTCTATAGTTTATTCTATTTTTGAAACTTTGAGGTCATGTAGATACCACACATCCCATAAACCAAGGCCATATTTTACATTTTTTCCTGCTATTTTAAATCATCATTTTTTAAATAGTCCCACCAGTACCAAACAGCTGCAGAGTGGGGATGACATGGCGATGAAGGGAAGGTGATAGTGACCGCCGTGCTGTCTCGTGCCACCTGAGAGAACTTGTCCCCTGTTTTTGGCTTGACAATACCTGCTTGTATCATACCTTATGTCGCGCTTATGGCAAAGAATAAACAGCAATTTTCGTGGCGGCAGCTACGGAATTGAATCAGAGGCCGAGAATGTCAATAACAGCTCAGGAGAGGTAGAGTGCTCAGTCTTCACTGACGGAAAATAATGGGGGAACATTGGTGCTCCCAGTGATATACGAGTAATTGTATAATCACTCGGCTTTAAAAATTTATCTCGTTTGTCCTATTTAATATTAAGAGATGAAACCAGCTGAATTCGATGGGAAATTGAATCATTCATCCGTTGACACTTGTTTCATCCCTTAATCTCTGTAAGGGAAAAATAAAAACATCAACGAAAGTCACACAGAGAAACCGAGTGGGTTTCAAAGGCCGAACGAAGGTGGATTTGTTTACCCTCTCCTTGGCTCTCACATGTTCACAACGAACACATGATCTCGAGAAACCCTCCATTTGTTCACAATCTGCCATCCAGGGTATTCACCCCTTCAGGCAATTAACCGACCGACCAGATCAACCAATCAATCAATCAATCAACTAGATCAGCCAACCAACCAATTTTTTTTCAATACCTAAACATGGAAATTTTTCATACAGAAATTTCTCGGGAAAACTCGGATGGCGGATGTAATTTCCCATCGGATACAGCTCGTTTCACCCCCGAATATTAATTAGGCGAGAAGAGATAAATTTTTGATTAACGTGCGAATTGTTTTAAAATCACTCTGCGCTCGAAAACCACTCGTTTTTTTCCTCACCGCGGTGCCTTTCGTCGATTTTCTCATTTTTTCCTTCCAGAGATTAATGGATGAAATGATTCGAATTTTA